TGGCCATGTTGTGATACACCAGAGTCTGCCAATGACCATGTTGTGATACATTAGGCTCTGCCAATGATCATGTTGTGATACACCAGGCTCTGCCACTGACCATGTTGTGATACACCAGGCTCTGCCAATGACCATGTTGTGATACACCAGGCTCTGCCAATGACCATGTTGTGATACACCAGGCTCTGCCAATGACCATGTTGTGATACACCAGGCTCTGCCATTGACCATGTTGTGATACACCAGGCTCTGCCACTGACCATGTTGTGATACACCAGGCTCTGTCAATGACCATGCTGTGATACACCAGGCTCTGCCAATGACCATGTTGTGATACACCAGGCTCTGCCAATGACCATGTTGTGATACACCAGGCTCTGCCATTGACCATGTTGTGATACACCAGGCTCTGCCACTGACCATGTTGTTATACACCAGGCTCTGCCATTGACCATGTTGTCATACACCAGGCTCTGCCATTGACCATGCTGTGATACACCAGGCTCTGCCACTGACCATGCTGTGATACACCAGGCTCTGCCACTGACCATGTTGTGATACACCAGGCTCTGCCAATGACCATGCTGTGATACACTAGGCTCTGCCAATGACCATGTTGTGATACACCAGAGTCTGCCAATGACCATGTTGTGATACACCAGGCTCTGCCACTGACCATGTTGTGATACACCAGGCTCTGCCACTGACCATGTTGTGATACACCAGGCTCTGCCAATGACCATGTTGTGATACACCAGGCTCTGCCACTGACCATGCTGTGATACACCAGGCTCTGCCACTGACCATGTTGTGATACACCAGGCTCTGCCACTGGCCATGTTGTGATACACCAGGCTCTGCCACTGACCATGTTGTGATACACCAGGCTCTGCCAATGACCATGTTGTGATACACCAGGTTCTGCCAATGACCATGCTGTGATACACCAGGCTCTGCCACTGACCATGTTGTGATACACCAGAGTCTGCCACTGACCATGTTGTGATACACCAGGCTCTGCCACTGGCCATGTTGTGATACACCAGGCTCTGCCACTGGCCATGTTGTGATACACCAGGCTCTGCCAATGACCATGTTGTGATACATTAGGCTCTGCCAATGACCATGTTGTGATACACCAGGCTCTGCCAATGACCATGTTGTGATACACCAGGCTCTGCCATTGACCATGTTGTGATACACCAGGCTCTGCCAATGACCATGTTGTGATACACCAGGCTCTGCCAATGACCATGTTGTGATACACCAGGCTCTGCCACTGACCATGCTGTGATACACCAGGCTACACCAGGCTCTGCCACTGACCATGTTGTGATACACCAGGCTCTGCCACTGGCCATGTTGTGATACACCAGGCTCTGCCAATGACCATGTTGTGATACATTAGGCTCTGCCAATGACCATGTTGTGATACACCAGGCTCTGTCCATGACCATGTTGTGATACACCAGGCTCTGCCACTGACCATGTTGTGATACACCAGGCTCTGCCACTGACCATGTTGTGATACATTAGGTTCTAACACTAGCCCTTTGCAATTTTGATAATTGCTGTAAGTAATATACCTGATCGTCGGCATGGTTTGTTTTCTCTTCATAACTTTCAGCACACGTGCAGCTATCTTCATTAATCATACACCACGATATATCGTGAATCTATTTCAAGTAACGAGGACTATCGTCGAATGTCTCCTCTGTCGAAAACTGAAACTATCTGTTCCGCCCCGACTATAATCAGATATTCGACTGAACTAACAGTGATAACTGACTACTGTCTGAACACTGGTTTAAATAGTAACATATGATCAAAGTAAATTATATGGCTCCCGAATGAGGAAGATTCTGAACGCCTAGAGGTGTGTATGTTTAAATGTGTTATGCGTTAACTAAACGTTATAATTGTAGACGGAGGTAACACACGTGCTGTTACTCTGGGAAGTTCTGATGTTAATCTACGCAAGGCGATCCACAGTAAACATGTCATATTGTGTTTATTCAGCTCTGACTTCGGGGCTTAGATGAATGATAGGTTGAGGTGCGATGTTTATTAGCACTGCGTGTTATTTTGCAGACAACATGAAATAAATTTCAGACTTCTACACTGGTTTGCTTCAAGCAGAATATATGAGGTTCAGATGGTATGAATCGTGGTTTAAAAGTGAGGAATACATTTAAAAAAGCTGAGCATTTATAATCAGGATGCGTTAGGTAAAGCTTGGGTTAGGATTGGGTGTTGGTACGATGCAGATGCAGACGTCATTGTGGTTTGGAGACTTGAGTGAGGGTGAAGACGTGAGTGTGGGTAAAGTGTGAGTGACGTGTGGGGGTGATTGAGTTTAGTTTTGCGCCGCACTCAGCAATATTCCAGCTATATGGCGGCTGTCTCTAAATAATAGCGTCAAGACCAGACAATCCAATGATCAACAGCATGAGCATCGATCTACGCAATTGGGATACGATGTGTCAACCAAGTTAGCGAGCCTGACCGTCCGATCCCGTTAGTCGCATGGGTTACTGAAGATCAACTCTTACCCGGATCTTCATGGGTAAAATGTGGAGTGAGTTTATATGTAGGAGTGAGTGAGTCAGTCAGTCAGTGAGTATGGTTTAACGCCGCTTTTAGCAATATTCCAGTAATATCGCGACGGGTGACACCAGAAATGGGCTTCACATCTTGTACCAATGTGGGGAATCAAACCCGGGTCTTCGGCGTGATGAGCGAACGCTTCAACCACTAAGCTACCCCACCGCCCCTATTGCGCATGAAATCAGAGACCACAAGACGGTATAAGGTTTCTGATTAAATCGTACTGAAGACGTTGGCTATAAATTTATAACATTTCGTAACATTTCACATTTTCTCTTAAATATTGCGCCAAACATTGCTGCGCAGCTGTTAAAGAGAAAGGCATTGTTTACGTAACCACCATTTTGCCGTCTTGGCACAAGAATTATCATTGCGTCAGGAAATCGTAAACACCGGCGCTTTCCAGCAATGATAGCTCTGTTGTCATAGTGTTTTATGTACATCAGCGAACCTTTTACTTTTAAAGCAATTTCACGCAGTGCAATCAATAGCGATTCGTAGTCTTGGTGTTGGAAAACATCAACAGTTGAAGAAATGCGGCTTCAAATCACCTGGCTTAGTTCTTGTACGTCCCTCGATATGTCAGCAAAACAGATTACCACGCGACCTTCCGTTAGGTCTGTTTACATTATATCAGAGACAATCTGATACGAAAATAAGACTGAGCAGCGTATTCCTGGGATTAAAGTAGCCTTTAATGGTTTTCTGATGTCATCTCACTGCACATAGTGGCAAGTTTGATGGATGGAAAAGGTATTGAGGTTCATAATGACTTTTGACAATTTAGACGCGAATAGTCTCAAATTGCAATAAGTAATTTCGTCATATGACAAACAACGGGATGCACATTCCTCTTGCGGAAAGGAGCGAGTGAGTGAGTTTAGTTTTACGCCGCACTCAGCAATATTCCAGCTATATGGCGGCGGTCTGTAAATAATCGAGTCTGGACCAGACAATCCAGGGATAAACAGCATGAGCATCGATCTGGGCAATTGGGAACCGATGACGTGTGCCAACCAAGCCAGTGAGCCTGACCACCCGATCCCGTTAGTCGCCTCTTACGACAAGCATGGGTTACTGAAGGTTCATTCTAACCCGGACCTTCACGGGTCTTGCGGAAAGGAGCACGTGGCCATGATAAAGGCGGATGGATTGGTGAGGATGTGTGTGAGGGAACCTGAGATGCTTCCAGGACGTGTCCCTATGAAGAATCACTTGATCAAAAGACGAGACATTGATTTAAAAGCGTTAGATTTTCATTTCATTTTTTCAATTTCGCACCCACTGAATTGATAGAATACAGGCTGATATGTTATAGTACAGTTCTATGTATACTCTACCAAATTAAAAGCTTGACACTTGTTACATTGGATCCTGCAATGGAAGTTAGTGGGTACCTTATTGTGGAGATAGTATGTATCATAGTGCTATCATCCGGGGCGGTGGGGTAGCCTAATGGTTAAAGCGTTGGCTCGTCACGCCGAAGACCCGGGTTCGAATCCCCACATGGGCACAATGTGTGAAGCCCAATTCTGGTGTCCCCCGCCGTGATGTTGCTGGAATATTGCTAAAAGCGGCGTAAAACCAAACTCAGTCAGTCAGTCAGTCAGTGTTATCATCCAAGTAACAATGAAAACGATTAAAAGTGGATACAATAATTATTGGAAAAATAATTGAGAACGTTCCGAGATCCCCAACTTCACACAGATAAAACTGTTGAAAGAGGAGAAGTCAGTGATGAGTGTGACCTCCTATGGCGGCTATGACGGCAACACAACGTGTCCTCATGGACAGGAGAACCTGTCGGGACTGCTGGAGAGAGCCTCCCCAAGTTCTTGCCAGGTCTGTGATGATTCACAAGCTGTCAAACTCGGAGTCCCAGCTCGTCATGTGTTCGAACGGGTTCAGGTCTGGGGAAGGGAGGCCAGTCCATGACATGAACACTGGCGTTACGTTAGATGATGGGCATCAAAACTGCAGTAAGGGACGTAGCGTTGCCATGTTGAAATGTCGGTATAGGACCATGTAGATAAATGAATGTGTCCCCAAGCTAGTAGGCTGCCCCCTCCATACACTGTTTCCTGTCATGATTCCCCTGACATACACGGCGTCATGTCATGTCATGATTCCCCTGACATGCACGGCGTCATAGCATGATTCCCCTGTACACAGCGTCACGTCAAGATTCCCCTGACATGCACGGCGTCATGTTATGATTTCTTCTGATGACCATGTCATCATATCCCATGCATAAGCTGTCATAATTTCACTGATATGCATTCTGTAGTGTCTTACAATGTCAATTTGCATCAACATAACTTTCATATTGTTGCATTGAGTCATGTTTTACGAACCTGACTGCATTGTGACGTCACTTCTTTACACAAACTTACCCATTTCCGGATCGTAATCTCCAATGAATCTCTTCGTCAGATACCGAACTATTAGAGCTGTAAGATAAAACAGGTTAGTGTAAGTCTGGGACGTAACAACGATATTCAAGGTTCCCGATAATAATATATCTGTCTGAATGTGTAATTAAGCGACATTGCCATTAAAATAATCATCAACGGAAACCAAACATACCGCAAGCATTTTACCGGTTGTTTATGCAATGTTTTTTCGAGTCGTTCACCTCAACACTCAACACAAATTGACGCAAACTACATATACATAAAAAGAAGGAATAATATATATACAGGCTGATCAACACTAATTATTCTGGTCCGGGAAACGCCAATTAGCATCCTACTCAGCAACGCCGAGCTCTGTAAGCTCTCTAAGTCACCAGATTCTATACAGCAGTTACCGTAGGGCTTCATAGGCAGCGACTTCCTCCATCGAAAGTTTACTTTGCCCTGACAAGAAATTGACATGAGTGTTCACACTTTTCGTGCCCTTAAATGTGGCAAATCGCCAGGTCCTGGTCTAGGTGGTAAAATATGGCAGTAACGTTTTAAATCAATCTGTGTTGCGTCGTTTTAACAATCATTTCTGTTTCGGTACTTTTCACGTGTCTGTGATCTAATTAGCAATCGAGGTATCACTTATGAATGTCTGCGGCTCGGCTTATAAATAGCATAGGAATAGTTTCTAACATGATATTAATTCTAAAATGTTACCTTCGATTGACATATCAAAGAAAACTATTTTGGATTCTTTCATTTGTTTCAGTTGTGTCAGACAAGGCTGTATTTTAAGTCGTCTCTTGTTTTCACTATTTATTAGTGAGTGGGAAATGATATCCAACATTTTGCAATCTTTGTTTATGAGGATTTAATCGAATCATTTTAAGTGTGTGTGTTTTTAGATTCGATTGTCCAAATGGTGGGAATGTAGAGCTCTTGAACATTTTTTGTAACAAATGTTTGAAAGTGACAAAAGGAAAAACAAAATACTAAAAGTATTTTTGAACTTGTGTTAAGGTTTGTAAACAAATTGTGATGGTGGAAGGCTTTTCAGACTTGACTAATGTGTAAAGCTATCAAAACGTTGGTTCCTGTAAACTACTTATGTATAAATAGTTTTGAAAAGGAATATTGAAAACTGTTTGACCCACCAATTAAACCAATTATATTTGTGGTGTTCATAAATGATTGTTTTTCGATTTCAAGTTATTGTTTTGGGTTGTTTTGGGAGTTGGTTCGAAGGATACCAACGTTGCCGTGTCAATTGAATGGAGTCGTTTTGGAGTTCGTCTTGATACCTTAACTGAACATGGTTATTCAATGCACTAACGACAGGTATTCAAGGCACCTTTACCATCTGCTAGTAAACTATACCAAGACAAAAAGTAACTGTTCTTCCTTAATGTGTGCTCAACTGTTTTTGGTCTGAAAGTAAATAATTCATTTTAGATATATATTCATGGGGTCATCTCTTCCACCTAACTTCATTATTCACAATTTACACGTGCATGTTCATGTACTGCTCACAGTTTGGATGTTTGTGGGAGTATTGGGAGTATGATATGTGTTCACGAATGTGAACAACCACAATCATTGTTTAGCTGTCAGGTGTTACTTTGTCTAACAGTAAATAACACACATGCAGTGTCCTGGCTTGCTGAAGTCAACATGTGCTCGTGGTTGATATGCTTCTTATAGGAAATCAAGTTTCCAGACTTCCTCATGCTATTAGAAACACAATGTAATACATTACAAACAACAGTGTACAATTCATGGCTTACCGCGGGGATCCCGCCCATGTCATGTCAAGACGACAACCATATTCGGTTGTTGCATATACGGAATCGATACCCAAATACCACCTTAACAGCTCTGTCAATTCCTGACTATGAACAAATCAACGAGACAAGAACTGTACTCATCCAGCCCCGACGTTAACGATAAGCACAATTTTTCCTTTACGATCTTTTTCAGGCAAGCCCAGCTTGGTTTAGAGGTTCAAAGGACATGAATGCGACAGCGAGATTATGTCATTATGCTCTTGTATGTAACTGAAAATCGAAAAAAAGCTGTTGCTTAATTGCTCTATACCCGTTTAACCTTCACTCATTTCTGCAAAAGTTTGTGAAAGATAAGGTGTGGTTGGGTAATTGTGTATACTGTAGTGCCCCTGGGGCTTCATCGCTTTCTTGTAGATTGTCTGATATAGTATATATAATATATATTTTATTACACAAAACATTTCTCATTTCAAACATGATTTTACTTATGTTGTTTAATCTACAGCAACCCGTGAAGATCCGGGGTAGAATAGGTCTTCAGCAACCCATGTGCTTGCCATCAAAGGCGACTGTGCTTGTCGTAAGAGGCGACTAACGGGATCGGGTGGTCAGTTTCGCTGACTTGGTTGACACATGTCATCGGTTCCCAATTGCGCAGATCGATGCTCATGCTGTTGATGACTGGATTGTCTGGTCCAGACTCGATTATTTACAGACCGCCGCCATATAGCTGGGATATTGCCGAGTGCGGCGTAAAACTAAACTCACTCACTCACTAATCTACAGCAAGCTTGAAAAACCTGTCGTTATGTAATCAGATCTGGTTTTGATGAAATTACATGCTGGCATTACATAGTTGCAGTTCGGTGCGCATCACTCCTTCCCTTCTAAAGACGTTTTTTGTTAAAGCCAATGTGTTTTACTGAACTAATACCACTGTCGGTAAGCAATCAATATTGTTCCATTTTGTCAACAAAAGTCACCTGTACAATTGTGTACAACAGTGAAAGTCACTGGTGCTATGTTCTTGGTCGTCAGCGCCACAACTGAAGGTTCCGATATGTTAGCGTGAAATATGACCTTAAACGCTGACAGTGTAGATGGCCAAATCACTCCAGTCTGCAGTAAACAAATATGTCTGACATATTCCCATAACAGTCTAGTAATAAGAAACTGTTGGTTAATATTAATTTCTCAAGTGCCTCTATTGGGCAACAACATAAAATTATAAAAATTGAACGGCTGTACCAAAGACATTCTGGTTTAAACATTAATTGATCACTAAAGTCAACGTGATTTCAGCAATTATAACTTGTGACCAGACGTCACTTCAGCTTAGCGCCAATAATGACCTATTTATTACCGAAACAATTGTGTCTAAATTATGTTGTTAATGTTGCGTGTGAAATCGTTTTGTGGAATTATATCGTAATTTGGGACCAATGGGGATAATAAGTTGGTTGGTTGGTTGTTGCTTAACATCACACTCAGCAATATTCCAGCCATATGGCCGCGGTCTGTAAATAATCGAGTCTGGACAAACAATCCAGTGATCAACAGCACGAGCATCGATCTACGCAATTGGGATACGGTGACACGTGTCAACCAAGTCAGCGAGCCTGACCACCCGATCCCGTTAGTCGGCCCCTACGACAAGTATGGGTTGCTGAAGATCAGTTCTAACCCGGATCTTCACGAGTGGAGAATAAGTACCAGTGTATTAACTGTGTGTCATTGTAGAAGTCTGACGATGTTTGTTCGTGTCTTGACCGAAGTCGGTACTTTCTACGTTGTTTTCGTTGTGAGCTGCACTCTCATTCAAGAAGAAGAATTAAGTTACATCCAGATAAATTTGAGAATGCCGCGATGTTTTTTAATGATTGAAAAGCAGTACGTCAAGACGTAGGTCTTTAAGATTCAGATTACAAAACATATGTTCCCTATGGATCATGATGTATTTGTTCACATTTTTTAACAAAAATTCAATGTTTCACGTCTGATCATCTTGAGGGAAGTGAATGTTTTGATTTGCCTTTAATTGTAAAAACTGTATTATTTATATGATAAATTCTTTTAGCACTATGGTGTTTACTATTTGGCATCTTTCTAACAAATATAAAAAACCAAAACTGTGCCTTCACTTCCTTCTGCGTTTTCTCTCCAAAGTGTTCTTTTACAACTAACATCTTACTTCGTTTTCTTTCCAGTCTCGAGTAGCAGCAATATTGCTGATGCGGATTAAAGCAACATTTACTTACACTATTTTCGTTTTGGTTACGTTTATTTGGCGTCCTGCAGGCGACAAGCATCGCCTATCGTGCATTATGGGCATCTTCCTCACTGGCCAGTGATGCTGAAACCTACTTGTTCCAATGAGAGCACACCAGGATTAACTTGTTCGACTCGGTATGACCAACTTAACAGTAATAATTCCTTTGCAAATGCTTTTGAATTTTCTTTCCGTAATCAAACGGTCTCATATCTCTATCTTTCTCTTTATCTCATGGTGCCAACTTTATATCCTATCTGTGTATTTTGTGTGTAACTACCCGTGAAATATCAGCAGAAAAAGACATGCCGTTGGAATCGTGTTGTGGTAAAAAGTACATTGGCACCTTTGTGTTTCATCTTTTGGGATTAGGACGTTGATAATTCATTAATCATGACACGCGTTCTCCTTTGAATTTGAAGCAATGTTTTCTGCCAATCAATACACTTTTAAACGTGCATCAGCTTTGTATTTATCACTTATGACGAAAATTCTATCATCATGATGAACCGTTTCCATCAAAGAGACAGAGTATATAGTTATATATAAGGCATGCATGTTTTGAGTTATCACCCATGTTTTGAATTATCACCCAGATTTAAACGTTAGTGGGGACATTAAACGTATCAACTTACCGTGACAGAACCTCGATGGAGGAAATATACCCGGTTATATTTGTCTGACACAAATACCCGGTCATGTTTGTCTGACACAAATACCCAGTCATGTTTGTCTGACACAAATACCGGTTATATTTGTCTGACACAAATACTCGGTCATGTTTGTCTGACACAAATACCCGGTCATGTTTGTCTGACACAAATTCCCTGTTATGATTGTCTGACACAAATTCCCGGTTATGTTTGTCTGACTTTGATCTTCGGGCATGGCTGTGTAAACATGCACATTAGACATATTGTGTAAACATGCACATTAGACATATTGTATACATTACTTTACCTAACCTGTCTGGAGATTGAGATATATCGTTT